GGCTTAGTAGTGAACCATTTATAGGCTATGGAACAATCAAGAAATTTAAGTTATGATTGCTTAGAGAATCGCCTTTTGCCTTTAATGAAGCTTCAAAAGGATCCCGTACTCTTTTAGCGTGATTTTGCGCCATGTCATTATGTCATGTGGTTGTTGTTCCCAAAGAGGTAAACCCTCCGAATAGCCCAGAGCTCAGGCCGATTGAGATTTATTGGGCCATTATTAAAACGAAACTGTTAAAGACGCAACATACAGTGAAAGATGAGAAGCAATTTAGAAATAAGTGGCGAAACGTCACTAAATACTTCAATAAGGATTTTGTATAAGCACTTATGAAGGATGTTAAGAGTAAATGACGATTAATCGCTTATAAAAAAATATTTTGAATATTATATCCTGAATTCGTATAAATCTATATAATTGAATAATACACATAATTTTAATAATGTTATACGTTCGACCAATTTTTTTCGTACACATACTTTATTAAAAAATCCTCATTGGGGAAGTCAATGAGTTTCAATTAAATAGAATCACTTTCTGGCTGAATTGTTCCCCATACTTAGGTACACTGATGCGTGTTATATCTTGAATTCGTATAAATCTATACACAAACTATAACTTGTATAAAATTTTCTGAAATTGAATAATAAACATAAGTTTTATAACGTTATACGTTCGACCAATTTTTTCGTGTACATACTTTATTAAATAATCCTCTTTAGAGTTTCTTTGGACGGGGAGGTCATCTGCCCTTATCTGCGAAAATAATAAAAGCTAATGCATACGACGACGTCTTATCTGGTGCTCATGAAAATCCACCGCAATCTTCTTCTTCTAATTAAGAAAGAGGACATCAAACAGCAAGAAAATTCTGAAGGAGATACCTAATGATCATCTTTTGACCACAGATTTCCTGGAATTCGACAGCAGCCGCGAAGCCAAAAATTGGGAATTCGATTGGACAATTTTACTTCTCTACTAGGCCTCTGAGGCTGGTTGTTGCTTTTCATTGGGGGTGTTTTTTTACGTGGCGGATCCCAAACCCAGCGCACAACCCTATGCAGGGGATAATTCGCCTTCTCACTTAAGCTCTCCTTCAAACGGATGTTCTTAGGCTACCCAGAGGATACTTGGTCAAAGACCGGATGTCGTGAGCTGCTTGAGCCATATGTAAAAGAATCGTTTCTGGCCACTCCCAAGTGAATGGCGATCTACACATGATTCCATCCCCAACAAACTGATTGTACCTTATCAGTGTGGATTAAAGCCCACCGTCAACAAACTTATTGGATCTTATCAGTGTGGCTTTAGACCTGGCAAATCAACAACCGACCAGATATTCACCATGCGCCAAATCTTCTAAAATACCCATGAAAGGAAAATCGACACACACCACCTCTTCGCCGATATCAAAGCTGCTTTTGACAGCACGAATGAAAAGACAGCGGCTACGCTGGCAAGGTCATATTGTCGGAATGGAGGAAAACACTCCAGCTCTGAAAGTATTCGACGCATAGGAAGCGGAAGACCTCGGTTGGAAGAACCAGGTGGAAAAGGACCTGGCTACGATTGGAATATCCAATTGGCGTCATGTACCGAAAAGAATAAAGGACTGGCGCGCTGTTGTTAACTCGACTATAATCGCGTAAGCGGTGTCTACGCCAATTAAGAAGAAGACTAGGTCTCTGGACAATAAAGACTCTTTCACTAAAAGAGAAGTTTTGTCCATGATAGCAAAATTGTTCGCCCAGCAGGATGGTTAAGTTCAGTAATCATCGTTGATAAAATTTGAATGCAGGACAATTGGTTGAGAAACATCGATTAGGACGACGCTTTGACCTCAAAATATCTTAAGCAGTGGAAGACATTTTTAAAAAATTACCTACATATAAACACTGTCAGGTGGGTATGTTATACAACGAACTGTCAAAACGCGCTGAAGCGATGCCTCAGAAAGGGCGCGTGCAAGTAAACGATTTCGAGATAAAAAGGCTTGCTTTTGACAAAAACAAAGGTCGCTTCTGTTAAAACCATCTGGTGCTCTTTTGATACAGAAAATGTATTATGGACTGACTYCAAAATCGTTCCCGCATGGCTACGACACGCTGCAGTGTTCTTGGTTGACATTCGTTGCGAATCKAATATGAAAAATTTGCGAACAAACTGAAATTTAAAACTGGAGGCATGTCAAATCCGAAGATAATCCCGCCGACCTGGCTAGCAGAGGAATATCTCCTCAAAATTTGCAACCAACGATCTTTGAGGGTGTGGTCCTAAATGGTTAAAACTTCAACCATCCAAGTGGCCAAAACAAAATTCTGCAGGAGACGTTGATACCACTCTGGGGCCAAGAGCATTCGTGTGGATCATGCATCAGTTATTAGGACAGAAGATATTTCGGAAACTTTTTCCGAATTTTTAAGAGCATTACACTTAAATTCTCCGGTCTTCATATTCATCAACAGAACTAATCCAGATTACAAAACCCCTACACTGCCTGCAACGCTCACATCGAATGAAGTTAAATTTGTCGAACACAGACTTATTCAGTTAACTCAGAAGGTACATTTTGCTTTTGAGTACTCAAATTTAACTAAAAATCTTCCCATCAATAATAAATCTTCGATTCTATCATTAAATCCCTTCGTGTTGATAACGGAGTCATAAAGAGGACCCTGCCTTAGCTTCAATGAGCAGCACCCAACTATCCTACCATACAACTGTCAATTCTCTTCTTGAGGGCTATGGGAGGCAGGTCTGAAAAGTTTTAAAATTCATTAAAAAAAATTGTCAGGATCTATGAAGTGCATATTCGAGGAACTTTCTATGCTGTTAACATTCTATTCAAGTTGTCTAAACTCTCCGCTAATCTGTTCTATWACGGATGACATCATTGACTTGACTCCGTTAACACCAGGCCATTTCCTGGTCGGTCTCGAAATGAGTGGAAATTAGGCAGGATCATCAAAATATATCCTGTTGGACCAACTAGTTCGGGTTGTGGGCATCCAAACTCAACGCGGCTTAATTTGTAGGCCTACAACAAAGATTGTCATTTTACCCAATTAATGTTAATTTTATTCTATACACTCACACCTTAATAATCTTCCTTCTCATTTAGGAAATTATATGAAATGACTACCATCAATTGTCCACCATGCATAGGCAGTTATTTTCTTCGCAGGTGCCCAAAGTTTCGTCAGATGTCCCCAGAAATGGACAACATTGATTCCCCGCTTTTGTAGCAACTGGTCCGCCCCGAACCACTCAAAGAATGAATGCGACAGCGTAATATCCTGTAAACGTTGCGGCAGCTGACACCATTCATTGCTTCATAGCATCAGTTCAGACGAGAAAATACCAGTCGAGGATGTTATTGAATTAACATTGGCACAGCAAGTCGTGCAAGAGGCAGCGAAAATGCAAGAGAACCCATTCACAAGCATCACGGTGAACGGATTCGATCCCCTCACATCCGTTTCAACCAACGTCATCAGTGGCACAACCAAGGAAAAGCTCTGACCAACGAATACCACACGCCCAAGATCGAGCAAGGCTCGAATCGTCTAGCCGACTTCGGCGTGCGGATTGGCGGGCAACGATCGACTGAAATTCGAATCGTCTCAGCGACATTTTCCGGACAAAAAGGAACTCGATTCGTCCCGCCAGCTACCTCATCCGAAGGGAATGTATCATCACCAATTATAGGAATGCAACACTACCTTGGCATCAAAGAATGGTGCTGTCACCGACAAGGTTACAACCAGCGGCAGTGGGACAACTCATCATCCAAAATACTACGCTGGGATACATATTATCCCTCGTCGTATAATATCGACGCAATAAAGTGCACTAACTGCCGACGCTTCTCACTTTTACCACCTACCAAGAATCGAGTTGAATCGAGTCTTCTCGCCGATCTCGGAATGTGGTGACTTCTACGCAGATTGGCGACATGGCAGTGACTGACTGAGACTCGATTCATCTCAGCGGCATTTCCCCACACCGAACCAGACTTGATTCGTCTCGTCAGTCACCCCATCTGCAAATAAAACGTATAAGAAGCTGTAGCCGTCCGAAACAAAGTACAGCAGCCAGTCGTAAGATAGTTTTAAGTAATTAATTGTAAACTGCATTTGTAGTAATACTACAAAGCGGCCAGATTGTTGACGCCGCCAGGCACAATTTCACTGCCACGTCTGTATCGGGAGAGCGATCGCTTCTTCGAGGTTTTGTTTCGAAGTTTTAATTCGAACGCAACCAAATATTGATTGATAAAAAGTTAGGCTCTTTCTTCTTCTGTGACATCTCGTCCAATCCATGTGTAAGTGTGACTCCAAATTTTTAAACCAAAATATTGTATAGGTATTATAAGAAAGATATTTTTCCTTGTGTGGAACCATTTGCGCCGTCGATTTAGCCATGGAACGACCCACACCATGTTCCACCTCTTTATTATCTATTTTTATATGATATAAAAGACTAAAAAAAACATGTTTTTATAGCACACTAAACTAAAACATTCAAAATACATAAATGTATAGTTAAAGAATACCCTTTTTTCAAACTAAAAAGCATAGCTATCAAATAACTGTCGAAAGTTTCATACTCTCTCGCTCTGAGCAAGATACTCGCTATCTTCATTTATGTTTTCTGTTGAGCGCTTTTCGTTGAACTCTTTGTATTTCGCTCTTTCAGTGAGCAGTGAGTAAAGAGCGGAACGAGACACATTTCACATCTTCACATTTACTTTTGTTGTTGTAAAAAAGAAACAATATAATTTGTTTAATAGAATAATTTAATTTTATTTTCAAATATTTTTGTTAACAAAATTCATTTAGATTCCATATTCCATATAACAAAATGCTATCAAAAAGAAAAAAAAAGTTTCAGACAATGTTGTTTTAAATTTTTTTTTTAATTTTTACATACATTATATATATTTTTTTTGTAATATTTTTTAGATATTATGTGTTAAGCTTTATAACTAGTAATAACTAGGTAAGACTGAGAATGCCCGTTCAACGGACACTTGCGTAGCAGGTGTAGCCAGCACAACCTGCGCTAGTGCACTTATATGCGGAATCGTAAGCTGCAAATCATTAAAAAATTCCAATATATTCCAATTTAATGACAAGCGACCAAATGTTACGTCGAAGTTTTCGATGTCAGCGTAAAATTTGACAAGTTTTGCAGAAACAGGATCTCTTTTGCTTTCTGACACAAGAGAACAGCGACTTCTCTTCAGATGAGGATACAGTTGAAAGAATTGATAAAACAGGGGAAGCAAACATCTCTTCACGCACAGGAGTTTCGAGCGCTGGAACATTTCGTGTATGTGCATTAAATAATAAAGCGATAATAAGTATAAAATGTTTCTTGGATTTTAGTTTAGTACATGTATTAGTTTTTGACGAAGACAATTTTAATTATAAACATAGTTTTTCTAAACTACAATATAAACAAAACAGGACCCAAATTTCAAACATTCTACGACATACAGCTTACTTCTTTCAACTGAAATAAACGAAAAGCTATTTTTTTTAAATTAGCCTTTGCTAACGATTTCTGATAGTTCGACAACATACAATTTACCCGAGGATCCATGTAAATGGCTGCCAACAATGCATCATTTTCTAACAATGTTTTTTCTCTTATTTTTATCTGTGTCGATAGTTTTTGTTTTTTTTTTTAATTAAATTGTGGCTACTCTCACATTTCACTTTTCGTACTTCCATCCATACTACGAAGAACTCAGTATAAGCTAAATCTTTGTATTATAGCTTTAGGGTTGCCTGGTATGTATCACTGAAAGTGTCAATCCAATCCCAATCGGCATCTACACAAATATAAGACTGCGTTGTCAGGAAATCCTTTAAATCCATTAATTTTTTGGCATTAAATAGGTTGAATTCCGTCGCAACGTCGAGCGATTGTATTCGTCTGCTTAGATTTTATAAAAAGTATGGACAATATATATATATATAAATATATATTTAGATATATATAACTTATCATTACTTACCTATACTTACCTTTCTGTGCACAGCGATTTGCATAATGTGCGACAGGCGCTTATTTTTATCGGCGATCTCCTTTGTTTTGTTCACATCGAATACGCACAGCTGCAGAGTCTGTGCTGCACATCCCACAAGGTGTATATTAGCAAGTTCAATAGAATCCAATTCATTCAGAAGATTCTCACTTCCTATGTCTTCTTCAAAAAGGGATTCCTCTGTCGCATCATTTAACACTT